TACCTCACCAGCCATCAAATAGACAGAATCCGACTCTGGAAATGAGAGTTGACCCACACTGCCTCCCAAGGGGAACAACAGACAGACCAAGTTCTTTCTGACACAGAAGCATCTCAGAGAACAGGAGTGGATGGGGAGGGGCTAAGAGTTGCTTGAGAACTTGAGGGGAGATTGGAGGTTGGAACTGGTGACCAGACAGAGGAAGGGAGGCCGGGGGCCTTGTCCACCGTGCTGAGCGCACACAATGGAGGAAGCGCTGCTTTCGGCAAAGCAGCAGCCAGGAGGCTGGGTGTCCAGGGCAGGTGGGACAGGCTCTGGCCAGGGGGAGGAGGATGGGTAGGAGAAGGGAATCTGCAGAAAACATTAGGGTGGCACTTTCTCCTGGTCCGGGGTAGCACCCGCCTCCAAAGCTTCATGGCTCTGGTCCCTGTCACCTCAGCAATGTCTCCTGGAACTCCCCTGTCACACAAGGCGGCTCCTTCTAGGCCCTCTGGGTCCCCAGGTTCTTTGCAGTCTGGAATGTTCTGCCCAGGGTCACACTGCATCTGGCTCCTTCCAGCCCACCCTGCCCTCCGTTCTCTCTGCCCCACATCCTGCTCTGTGACATGCTGGGAGGTTATTCAGTTAGGGGCTGATCTGATACCTCACTGTTCACTGCACGGTCCTAGTAGCCTGCCTGCCTCATGGCATTTGGCTCGCAGCAGACCTTGACATATGTGACAAGGAAGTCAGAGAGTGAGGGAACAAGCAGAGGAGAAGGACAGGTGTTGGCAGGTGGTGATGAGGCATCACACGATGCCTCACACCTAGCATAAAAAACATGTAATCACTGCCAGTTCCAGATTGTTAAACTCTAGGGTGAAGCCAAGGGCATTACACATTTCCAGGAACCGGGTGCTGTGAGTGAGTCAATAAATCCTGACGTGGAGCCCAGTTTCTACATTCAGAGCATGATATGGTGTGTGGAGAAATGGAAGGTCCTTCTCTGCAGGCCAAGGCTCACCCTTCCATGGGGTTCTGGAGGCCTCTGCGTTCCACAGATAGTCCAGAAAGGGAGAGGCTAGCCCAGGGCAGCCAGATCTCTATCTGCCTGAAAAATCTCACTGCAAGCCAAATCAGAAACCCCTAGCTGCTAAGCAAGTCTCTTTAACTCAGCTCATTCCTCTCTACTGCCCAGGCTAGTTCTTGCTAAAGCCTAATCTGGATCCAGCCACTTGCCTGTGTAAAACCTTCAATAGTTCCCTGCCACCCCAGAGTTAAGGCTCCATGCTGAGTATGTCCACTCCCAGACCCCTCCACTCCAGGCTTCTCTCTCATTTTCCTCCTCTGAGCCAAACCCACCATGCTTCTAGGACAGCACACATCGTCTCCACTGCCCTCCCGAGGGTGCACGTTCCTATCCTCAGAGCCTCCGCCCTCCCTCCTGGTGTTCTCTGCAGTTCCCCTACTGTCACATCCCACCCCCAGGTTAGTCCCAGAGGCCCCTGTGCTGACAGCCTTGGTCACAGAGAAATCCCTACTAAAATCTAGGAGAGGAAGAAAGGAAGGCTTTCAGACAGCATGACCTCCATTTACCCCAACACGAGCAAGCCTGATGGGCAGAACCACACACATGAGCAGGCTACTCCCCAGCCCCCACTCAGCACTCCTCAGCATTCATAGAGGTCAGCCCGTCCAGGGTCTACACACAGTGTTCTCCTCTCTACCCACACTAAGGAGCCAGGGACTTCAGACATCCTGCAGTGTGGACTCTACCCCAGAGATTCCGATGTCATTACCCAGGTGAATCCAGGAGATGGGGATTGTTTAAAATTTTGTCCATGTGACGATAACATATACAGCCAGCCTGAGATCCAAATCCAAACAGCTTACAGGAGGAGTATACCTTGCAGTCCACTGGAAGGTTGAAAATTGTGCCCACATCCTGAGCCCATTTGCTCCTTGTCCATTAAGTTAGATCCACAGGAGGGGAAAACCTAGATGTCAGCATCCTCGGGTCCATCAGATGCTTCTGACAGTAGACTTGAAACCACTTCCTTCCTTCCTCCTTCTTCTTTTCCCAGTGGCATTTTTTGAAAGCCTCTGTCACATACTCAGCCTTGATGACCTTGGTGAATCACACCCTGCTCCATTCAGAGAAGGTTAGGAATGGGAGAGCCCTGCTGTGTCTGGGGGGCTACTCCTGAATGAGCACCCTGGGTGCTCTTCTCTAACCTGCTAATGGCTCCTGGGGTGGGAGCAGGTTAGATAGGCCATGCCTATCTTTAGGCATCTTGCCTTGCTGCCAATTTTGTCAAAAGGCTGGACTCCTCTCTGTCAGAGGCTGAGATCACATGTGGTCCCTGGGATGGGAGAATTTCCCAGAGTCCCCTGGAGCTACCTGGGACTCCTGGTAATGGCAAGGTGGGCCTGTGGATCTCTGCTTACTCCTTTGCATGCATGAGGTCTATAGACATGTCGTTGCCACAAATACTGTCTCATATGACTGTTTGCATCCTGATATCGTAGGCAGCCTACTTGGCTGGGCCTGAAGAAAGGCTAGCGGCATTTTAAAGTTCTCTGATGGAGTTACCACATACAGAAATGGCTCCCACCCTAGAGGCAGAGTGTTCCCTCCACTCTGCCATTTAAAACCTGAGGTAAAAATTCACACACTGTAAAATTAGTCACTTTAAGACGCAATATTCAGTGACATTTAGAATATTTACAGCACTATGTGACCATCATCCTTGTCTAATTTCAAAACATTTTCATCACCCAGAAGGAACCTGGGAGCATTATCAGTCATTCCCCATTGCCCCTCCAAGCTGCCAATGTGTTTTCTCTTTCTACAGTTTAATCTATTCTAGATATTTCATGGCAACCTTTTAGATATGACTTCTTTTATTAAGTGTAATGATTTTGAGGTTTCTCTACATCTGTCACACGTATTTCATCCCTCTTATGACTGAATGATGCTATGTGGATACACACTATTATCAACATCAATGGGTGACTGGATATAGGACCTCTTGGTGAACATCAGCCTCCTCAGATGTGCAATTCCCGTGCGTTTGCATATGACCTTTGTACATCTTCCTATGCGTGTTAGTCCTCTGAAGTTCTTATAAAACCTGGTACAATATATAAATTCATGTTAGTAATTGCTATACTCTTATATGGGGAACATGATAAGAAAAAGCCCAAGTGTGTTCAGCATATAAAATTTTACTTTTCCACATTTTTTTGTCCCTAGTTGACTGAATCCATTAATGTAGGATCATTAAATATAGGGGAGCTGATAAGACGATATTTTCTTATCTTGGGCAAATGTCTGGATGGTTTTTGTTTTTTAAGTCTTGGACAATCTGGAAAATTTTAGTGTCTTATTAGACACTGTCTTACCAGTGCTTTTGAATTTTAGGGATTGGTGAGTGGTGATCCTGAGTGACCCACTTTCCCGTATATTTAAATATTAATTTGGGGGAGCATAGCATCTGTCCAAGTTCCATTTCCATGGGCTTCTGCAATTCAGGTCTATGTCCTGCATAGTGACCTGGGTGGGATCTCAGCAGCATCTCATCCTACTGTGTGCTGGCCCCGACCCTACCTGGGAGGCTGGTGTGTGTGCTGTAGGCTTCAACAGAGGGCTTGGGAATGGAAGGAGTGGCCAGGACAGCACGATGCTTCTACAATACTTAAAATGGGGTTCACATCCATATGAGTGTAGGACTGTGTTCACCCAAAGGATTCAGCCTGATTCTCTCCCCACTTTCTCTCCCTTTTGAAATTCCTCCCATCCAGTATTTAAAGGGTCCTCAGGCAGCTTCACTCATTCAGAGTATCACATACTCCTGTCTCCTACGGTTGCCCACATATCTTAGGGTGACAAGGTGGGATTGAGGACCTCCCAGAACATTGATTTGATTTTTCTCCTAGACCAAAAGGAACTTTCTCCTCCTGGGAGGAACTGTGCCCGATTTCTAGGCCAACTGATTCAATGGGCTAGCAGATGTTTAAAAATAATACGCACACCCAAATTTTGACAAGAACTCGACAGGCCCCAGTATGGCAGGGAGGGGTCGCCTTTACTTTTCTACACACGTGGTGTCGTGAACACAATATGGGCTTGTAATTAACCATTTACTCCTTTCTAGTAAGTCCAGGTATTGCTTCAGTTTGGCATTGTTGTATGAAACAAACAAAAACTTGCTTGTAGCTAACAGCCAGGAGTTGCCCCTTTACCCTGAGCTGGTTGGTTGGTGATGACCATGCTTTGGGGGTAGAGAAAGGACACTTGAATGTAAAATGTCCAAGTCCTTTTCATGGTTGTTTGTCAACAGTGCTATTGAAAGCCTTTAAGGTCTTCAGGGCTGTGTCAGTGCTGCTGGGGAGAGGTGGCATGGCTTCGGACAGTCTGGAAACGACTGGAGTGATCAGGTCAGGCAGATTTTCCTGATGAGCTGATGTGCAGGGTAGGCGGAAGCCGGTAAGGGCAGCCATGAGGTTTGTGTTCAGTACTGACCATGTGGTATTTCCTGTGGCGGGAAGGAAGGGGCTGGAATAAAGTTGGGGAACAGATGGATGGGGGACACATTCAAGGTGCGTTTCAGATGTCCAAATAGAGGCAAAGCAGGCAACGTGTGCCTGGTGTTTAGAACAGAGTGATGGTGGCGGGGTGTGGTGGTGAGGGAAGGCAGACAGCCCTGCGTGTGCCGGCTTAGCGCCTCCCCCGCCATTCCCAGTGTTAATGGGGGTGGGGAGCACACAGAGAGTCAAGAAAGAACTTTCTAGATTTTCCTGCTGGAGGGATAAACTGAAGCTCATGGAGTCCAAGTTTTCTCAGGGTCATACTAAGTTTTAGTTAGTGACAAAGCCAAGACACAGCCAATTCCCCGGGTGCTGGATCCCTCCCCTTCCCAACATGCCAGACTGCCTCTTGGCTCCAGGTGCTGCAGGTTGCATGGCCTAAAAGCCGCATGAGATGACACTGTGTGACCCTCAGTTCTGTCTTCTTTTAGGTCACCATTCTTGTCAGCCTGGCCCTCGCTTTCCTTGCCTGCATTGTGTTCCTGGTGGTTTACAAAGCCTTCACCTATGACCACAGCTGTCCTGAAGGATTTGTCTATAAGGTAAGGGGCACGGGGCAGGTCCTGGGTGATTGTCAGTAATTGGAGAGACTGTCAATGCCTTTGCTTCCCTGGTGGCCATATTTGGGTATAGAACTATCCCCATGAACTGAAACACAGCTGGAAGGGAGTAATCTGTATTCCTGAAGGACCAGACTCAGGCAGACACTAGAGTGCCATCGCAAGGTCAGGAAGTGGCCAGCTCCAGACTGCGCATGAGCAGGGAAGAAGCCCGCTGACACTTGACACTGACTTGCTCATCTTTGGAAAGCTCTGCTTCATGTGGATCTTCCGGACTAGCTTGCTGATTCCTTACCTCGGGGTGTCTCTAAGAGACAGGAGGCAGAGAACAGTGCTCCCGAGCTTTTCTCCCAGCCTGTGCCTAGACCCCAGATCCTCTGGGTCCCTTTCCTCCTGGCCATTGCTTCTTAGTTTTCCTCCTTCCTTCAAAATCTTGGGTGACCTGGGGGGCTTTCCTTATTCCTTTGAAGAATTATATATGCCAAAACGATCAAATAGTTTAGCGCAAAAACAGTAAATAAAACAAACAAACAAGCCCATTGGCTAACAGACTCTCAGTACATGTTAGCTGCAATAAAGTTAGCTGTTTTAAATCTGAAACAGGTCATCACCTGTTTTTTTTTTCTTAGTTTTATTTTTTTTGGGTGGGGGGGTCTCTGGCTGTCCTAGAACTGGTTTTGTAGACAGACTGACCTTGAACTCACAGAGATCCAACTGTCTCTGCCTCCCAAGTGCTGGGATTTACCACCACCTGGCAATGCTAATTTTTATAATCACTATTCACTGAGTATTTATTTTCTGTCAGGCTATTTACTAGAAATTTCCATAAACATCATCTCTTCTAAGCCATCCTGAAATGGGATTATTTTTGTCCCCATTTTCCATAAGAAGTAACAGAAATTCAGGATATTTAGTTAAGAGGATTTCCCAAGGCATCACAGCTAGGAAGATGTTCCAAACTGGAGGATCAAAGGGGCGGGGCTGCTCCAACTTGAGAGTGTGTGTCTTTTGGTGCTGCTATATGCCTGCATGGAGTGATTCTCTTAATGGATAAAAGCTGAGGTTCTTAAAGGATGGAGACAGTGACAGCAAGTACTGGAGACAGCTAAATAAACCCTGCTTCATCCACACAAGGGGATTCTTTAAAAGTATGATAGCGAAAAAAGACGGTCTGCTTTGTGGCATAGATTGCCCTCCAAGATGATATTGGCAGACAAGGGAAGAAAGTTCTAACTGTGTGTGAGAGAGGGGAGGTGAGAGGGGTGTGCTTTCCTTTTTCCAGAAGGAAATTCTATAAAGATAAAATTTTCAAATACCAAACATGGATACCCAGAGGTGAGGAAGGAGTCAGGGATGGATGCAACATTCATCCAGAATTAGCTCAGTGCATTATTTTCCTTAAAATATAAGTTGTTGACTTGTTTGATAAGTAAATAAGGAAAAGTAAACCCTGGAGATTAAAAGCAAGCCAAACAGAGAACCTAGTTCTGTATTAAGTGGAGAGACTCAACAAAGAAAACTAGTATTTCAAATAGTCACAGAGTGCAGCCTGTAGGTGAAGAACCTTAATAGAGCGTGAGGATACTCCTCGGCTCACTGTAGGGGTGACAGGAGAAGCCAGCCATAGGCTGAAACTGTCATAAGTTCAAGTCAAGCCCTTATAAACAGAGCATGTCTATAGCCTAAAGATATTAAGACACTGAACATCCATTCACTATGAGTGCTAATATTGCTAGTAGTTTATGATTATCCTATATACGGTGGAATGATGCAAATGCCTAATACAGATTCATATTAATGTTAGGAACCAATAACCTTGATATGAGAAAAGAAATACATATATCAAACAAAGGACATGAAATTGTCATTATCTGTGGGCAGTGGCCCAGATAGCCACTGAGGACCAGGTAAGAGGAACTGATGATGTCATGCTACCAGGAGCTACTATTGTCATATGGTCATGAAGCAGATGAGTCTGGTCTTACCTCAGTACCAGTATCTCCTCTGCTCTGAAGATGGCGATGGTACCATATTGGGGAAGGTCTGCTGAGGCCAGGCCCAGGAGTACTGTGTGCTGTGGTATGATTGACAGCCAGATGACACAGAAGCTCCTGCACAGGACGGCATTGTCTGCACCGGTGCCAGCAGCCCACCCAGCTACTCTTGACGCTCATCTCTTTCTTCCCCAGCACAAGCGCTGTATCCCGGCCTCGCTGGATGCTTACTACTCATCCCAGGACCCCAGCTCCAGGAGCCGCTTCTACACAGTCATCAGCCACTACAGTGTGGCCAAGCAGAGCACTGCGCGGGCCATCGGGCCGTGGCTGTCGGCAGCTGCCGTCATCCACGAGCCCAAGCCGCCCAAGACCCAGGGCCATTAGAGGCCTGCCCCAGCCGGGGTGGGGGGAGGGTGGAGAGGGGAACCCCCCCAACTGGCTAAGCAAAGCTGGAGCTATAACACTGTACTGCTGGGGTACGGGGTGGGGGCGGGGCAGGATGGGGTCTTGGGAGAACTCCCCCGAAAATATTGTGCACTGGAGTTGTCTGAATGGATCTTTCCTTTTGTCCTTTCGTATTGTTGCTTCGTCCCCAAGTCAGGCTCATGTACAAAGGCATGTTCCGTGTTGACTGTTCCCATGTAAGATATTTTCAGAGCCACCGCTTACTCTTTGTTAGGATAATTTAGAGACAGAAAGGGGAGCCAGAGAAAATGAATAAAAAGCATGAAACGGGCTCCACGTGGAAGACGCAGCAGGGCAGTAAAGAGCACAGCCTCTCCGGGCTTCTTAGGTAAGGCACTGCGTGGCTTCAGCGTGGGCGGCCAAGTATCTGTGTGGCAAAGGGTAGGCTGTTCAGTTTGCCTGTGGTCTGCAGGAGAGGAATGTGGCAAGGCAGGGAAGGCTGAATTGGAGAGAAAGGTGGTGTTGGCATTTCTAAACCAGGAATGTATAGAGTACCACTCAGTGGTGAGTTTGCAAGATGAGCACAAACCCACGGGGCAGGCATCCTTGCTCAGCCCGGGACAGCCCATGGGCCCTAGGCTCTGAACATTCGCAGGGAGGCTGTTGTGCATCAGCAAACACAGACGTGGGTAGATGTTGTCTTTCTTTTATTTTTCTAGGTGTATCCCTAGATGCTGCCTGTGCTTTCAAGAAGGCAGGGGTGGAAAGGGAAAGAAAGGAATAGAGGTGGCAAGGAGACAGGTCAGGTGGGTCGTCCTAGGCCCAGCTAGAAGCATAGGCACCCGGGTTTTGTATGTTTGCTCTTTTCCAAAGTGCTAATGGCAGCAGCAGCAACAATTGGATCCTCGCCAAGAAATCCGAGAGACAGGCAGAAGGAAACTTGAAGATTGGGCCTGCAATGGTAGCAGGTCATTTCTAAAGGAAGCTGGAGAAGGTGACTGTCTTTGGTTCACTTTGTAGTGTTGACAGAGGATAAGCATCCAAACTCCCCAGCTGGGTTCCAGAAGCACCTAACTGGGGGTTGGGGGCAGGGGAAGTAGCTAGCATCCTTAGGCTTCCCATTCCAGGGCACAGGGCATGTAGCAGGGGCCTCTTGCTTCTCGGGAGCACTCCAGGAAGGCCCTTTTCTGTGCAGGTGCTGGCTCTAGGCCCAAGAGGACTAGAACTGGCCAGGAAAATTGCTCATTTGACATGTGCTACTGTTTCCCCGGGCCTCTCCAACAGGCCATCGAAGGGTGTTTTCTGTGGCTTGCTATATTGCCGAAATCATTTTACACAGCTGCTGGGTAATAGGAGTAGAGTAGCTCAAGCTATCCTGCCAAACACACTCATCTGATTTTTCCTCCCTCCTCCCCCCATCCTCCCATCACCTTGAGTCACCTGTAAATTCATTTGTCATCTGAAGCGGATCAACAAATTGTCCCTAGCAAAACCACAGAGCGCTTTATAATTTTGTGGTGTATTTTTGTCAGTAGGTAGCAGAGGCTGAAGTATTTTTTGGTGTAATTCTTGAAATTTTCTGACAGGAAAAGAAATAAACATAGATGTGTCTGAGAGTCTTGAGTGTCCTTTACAGCTTTACCTTCTGCTCAGAGAGCCTGGTGGGGATACTGGGGATGCAGGAGGGGGGATTGGGAGGCCATGAGCAGAGTGCCCTGTTGGGTGGGGGCACGGAAGTGGGGGCATGGAAGGAGATCTCTACCTTAAAGTAACTAAGGCCTGACACACTGTTGACATCCTGTCGTGGATACGGAGGGCCTAGGCAAGACCCTGAAGCCCTAACAAGATCTTAAGCACTTTATATGGTATGGAAGGTGTCACATGACACCAGGTCCTAGCAGGGTACAGAGGTCCAGATATTTTGTTGCTGAGCAGCTAATCGGATGCTGAAGGTATGGCATGATATGAAATATGTGACGCCGAGAGGCTGACAATGCTGAGGTCGTGGTGTGCTGCTGCTGGTTGACTCAGAGGCCTGACGTGATACTGAGGGCGTTACATGGTGCAGGAACCCTGACGGTACTGAGGGTCGACATGATGCTAATGTCCTCACATAATGCTGGCCTTAGGTTATAGTCCTGACATCGTAAAGCACTGATGTGCCGGTAAGGGACCTGCCACTGCGTTTACTACCTGATCACTTACTGAAGCTCTGAGGTGATGCCGAGGACCTGGATATGATACTCAGTTTCTAAAATGATGTTGCAGGCTGACTCGATGGTGAGTTATGGTATTGCCTAGGCCCTCCGAATCCATGACAGGATGTGGTATTGAGGTCCTGATGGTGCTGAAGCTATAGCACTGTACTGCGTCTTGATAGATCCCTGAAATAAGGTCCTGAGATGACGCTGAGCTCTAGACACAACAGATATCACACTGATGTCCACGTACAATGTTTTGTTACGTCATATACTGGTGCTCAATGTCTACATGGTACAGATACATAACATGATGCTGCGTTCCTGACAAGGTTCTGAGGTCTTGGGATTATTCTGAGTCCCTGATGTAATTGATGTTGGGGTCTAGCACAATGCTGAGGTCTTTATAAGAAGCTGGAAGCCTGATATTATATTGAGGTCCGACATGCTGGTGAGTTCCTGAGAAGATGATACAGGCCTGAAATCACGATGCTGAGGCTGTCGCATGGTACTGAGAACCTGACATGGTGCCATGAGTCTGACAAATGACCCGTGTCATACCAAGGGCCTCGTGCTGAAGTCCCTACGTGATACCGAAGGACTGACATGATACTTGAGGTCTGACATGGTAGCGAAGACCTGATAATGAAGCTGAGGTTCTGACATCATGATGAAGCCCTCATGTGACCCTGAGGGCAAGATGTGGTACTGAGGTGAATATACTGTGGGAAGATCTGATGCATGCTAATATCCTGCAGTGACACTCAAGTCCAGACACATTCTGCAGGGCTGATATGATGCTGCAGCCCCGGCACTACCAGGAAACCCGACATGATACTGAGTCTGTGCCTTGATGAAAGGGCTCACATTCGATGCTCAGAGCCTCATATGATACTGAAGTCCTGGCAGGATGTTGAAGTCCTGGCATCAAAGTAAGGCTCTGACATGATGCTGAGGCTTCTACCTAATATTGTGGATGTCACAGTGATTCCCTGGCTTGTTTCTGAGTACATATTATGGTACTACTGGTGATTGTATCATTTTCAGAACTAGATATGGTATCCAAGACTGATAGGCTGAGTTTCTGGTATGATGCAGGGATCTGGCATGACCCTTTGAAAATGACTTGATGTTGAGATATTAACATGATGCTGACGCCTTGATATGGTGAGGCTCAGTCATGATAGGGAAAGCATGACTTGATACAGAGGCCATGGCATGATGCCAAGCATCTGAAATGATGTCGTGGTCCTCCCGTTCTGCTGAGGCTATATGTTAATGAAAGGTATGGTGCTGTGGTCCTCACTTTGCATTGGAGGGCTGACATAGCACAGGTGGTCTGGCATGATGCTGAAGGCTTGCCGTGAAATTAAGTCTTGATACAATCCTGAAGTTCTGATGTAATATTGAGTGTCAAACATGACACTCAGGTCCAGACATGAAAGAGAAGACCTAACATAATATAGGGATCCATTCGTGACACAGGTAAAGATAAGATGTCAAGGTCTGGAGGCAATACCATGTTGCTGAAGACCTAGCATGATGCTGCAGACCTACTATGATGCTGAAGACCTACTGTGATGCTGACATCCTGACATAATGCTTAGGGCTTAATATGATGCATAGCTTCTGACACTGCATTAGGCTCATGCTATTTTTCTGAGAGCCTAGCATGAGGCTGGGGACATAATATAATCCTGAGTGACAGATACAGTACTGAGGTTCTGATATGACATTGATGTCCTGATAGAAGAATCCAGTATTAACATGGTAATGTTAATCATGAAATGATGACATGAAGAAATAACATAATGCAGGGGGAATGAGTAATGTTGATTTTGTTACATAATACTTGGGAACTCACATGACAAACAGAGGTGCCTATACCAGGACATGTTGCTAAGGGCCTGACAATATGCTCACATCCTGATAGTTGCTGAGGTCACAACATAATAGTGAGGATGTATTGTGATGCTTAGGGCCTCACATGATGCAGAGATCCTCACATAATTTCGAGCTGCTGACATGATTCAGATTGCCTGACATGTTGCTAAGGTCTCATATAATGTTGAGGTCCTGTCCTTGTACTTAGGCCTGACATGATACCAAAGTCCTGTCATGATAATGATGTCCTGACATGGTTTTGAGGATATGACTTGAATCCAAGGTTCTGATGTGACACTGAGGTCCCACCTGATGTTGAGGACATGAAGAGATTCTGAGGTCCTGATGTTATTATGAATACGTGGTATGACTCTAACATGATACTAAGGGCCTGACATAGAGTCCTGGATTCTGGAGGTCTAACACGACGCTGAGGGCTTGAGATAACTCTAAATCCTGATTTGATCCTGAAGGGCTGAAGTGATGTTGAGTCCCTGACACTGTACTGACTTTCTGACATGCTGAAATCCTGACACGACACTACAAGACTGATGTGATCGTGAGTGGGGCATGATAACATTACTAAGTTCCTACCATTACCCTGAGACCCTGGAACAAGATTGAGGGCCTGGCATGACTGAGTAATTTGGATAGAAATGAAACTTCTTTGCTACAGGGCCAGTTGCTAGAAGTTCAATGTCAAGGTGGGCAGCACCTTCTAGGAAGGCAAAGAATCACTATAAGAAAGCAAGGAACCCATCTCAAGCAGCAAACCCTCATTAGTCTGTTCATGAGGCTGGGGTCCTCACGGCCTGCAGATCTCTCACTAGGCCCTGCCTCCAGCAATGTTCAAGTTTCCAACACGTACTTTTGGGTTACAGAGTCAAAACAGCATATAGTCACTACCTTGAAGTTTAGAACAAAATTAGATACAGAAATAGACAGTGGCGGAAAGTGGGGTCTGCTGACGCCTTTGCTGATGCACTTGGTTGCTGGCCAGCAGCTCAAGGAGGAAGCAGGGAACACTATCGCCTTAGCTCGCTTTAGGTGCTGGTCGTTGACACCATTAGACAGATGGAGAACTGAAGAGCAGAGGCATGAAGAGGCTGCCCCTGGGCCCTGGTTGGCAAACTGGGATTTAAATCTAGATTTGGGTGATTCCTTGGCCCCTGAACTCTTCCTGTAGTGTGTCAGACCCCCAAGCAGCACCGTCACAATTACAGCTCGTTTCTCAGAACGTCAAGCTGCAGTTTTCACAGAAGCGAACCCACTTATTCTTAGCTTGAACTCATTCTAAGTGTTTAGAGCTAAGAATAGCAAATGCCCTTTGCTGTGCCAAGTGCTAAGTGCTCACTAGCTCCAGGAAGGAGCCACCCCTACCTTCAACATCACTGCTGTTAGCAGTCACTATGGCTTCCATTTTAAGTGCACCAACAGGGGCAATGAAGCAGTTTGTTGGAGGTGATGTGGTAAGTGACAGAGCTGTGATTCCAACCCACACATCTTGGTGCTCATGTCTTAACCACTGTTCCAGCTGCAGTAGCCACGCATCCCTACGCTGTGCTCTGAAGTTGTGATTTGTACCCACACGTCTTCCTGCCTCGGATGGCAGGCCATCTGAGGAGGAGGGTAGGACGGACGAGATAGAGTTGGAAGAAGGCACACTGTGCTAATTGTTGAACTGGGTGGTTGGGACCAGCCATGCATGGCTAGAAGAGAGAAGGAAGACAGTATAGCCCTTGCCCTCAGGGACTGTACAAGCTGCTGAGCCCAGGGCAGAGACAACCCTGCTCACACCCCAGAGCTCTGGATAGCCAGCCCGTCTTTTGAAACAGTGAGCCTGAGAGACTCAGACAGGGCTGTGAGCTGGCATCCCTCTTACAGAGGCCATGGATCCATACAGCCAACACGTAAACACCAGATGCATTATGCCACTACACAGAGTCAACTAAAGACTTAATGAACACATGTTGGAACATTCTGTCATTAAATCGATTTGCCACTCTATTGCCAAAAATAAAAGAAGAAGAAAAAGAAGCCACCAAAGTTATCTTTTTGTCACCTTGACAACCCATCCGTATAGTAGTGGAAGGAAAGGACAGAGGAGGGGCCATGGAATCTCGAGTGCTAGGAGTGAGTGACCTTAATGCTGTTCCTAGTGAAGTTATAATTTCCTCATCAGAATAAAGGGAATATAATCCCCTGGGTAAGCAGGAATGCCAGAGCCATGAGAAGAATTTAACCAAAGGTTTAGTCAAGAAAATTTCCTTTTTCACAGAGCCCTGCTGGGCCAGGAATGATCATAAACCAGGACCTAGGTTAGCTGAAGAAACCCCCTTTGTGGCCTCTGCATACTTTTCAATCTATTCATCAACACCATGAACTCTTCTGAGAGGGTCCCCCGCTGTGCAGGAACAGTGACATGAATGAGTTCTCTAGGAGCAGGTTAGATGTCCCCATGTGGGTGTCAGCCTAAGAAGGGAGTTGTGAAGGACAGGTCCCAGCTTGAAGGGAGAACCCAGCGGGGAGACTCT